GGCTATAAGCTCTTTCAAGATCTGAAATTTGATCTTCCAATAAGTGAGTATCATGCCAACCACTGGAAAAGTCACCTTACCATCACCCACCACATCTTCCCCTCCATCATCATCAAAGTTCAGTTCCTTGCTTTCCTCACCAATTGCAATGTTTTTGTACTCGTTAACTATACCTTACATCGAAGACGCACGCTTGCACCACTGATTCAAACTTCGTCCTCAAGCTCCTCGTCCTAAGTCTCGATTGTGCACGTCCCACAGAAGTAGTAGAGCCGCAAGCCTTTAGCAAGACCTCGCCCCACCCGTTGTCTCAATTCCGCCTCCCGGCGGCCGCTCCTCGATAGAGCCGATAGCAGAGAAGAAATTCCTAGCGGTGAAAAATCGCCCTATAGATAGAAGCTTGCGATTTTTCAATCTTTAAGGGGCTAAACCCGATCCCCTATTATATAATGGTTTTTTTTAATAAAGCATATGCTAACATATACATAGTATATAATTAAGAATAGTTATTCTTCACTATAATAAAATAGTTATAATGCTTAGAAAGAATTTTCCTGTATTCAAAAATTATACTAGCATTTGATAATCAAGTATTTTTTTACACTTAAAATATTTGGATATAATGTTGAACAAGAATAAAGTATTGATGTGAGTTTTATCGCACTTAAAATAGATTGCAGAATAGTGGGAAAAGTACGAGTATCGTCTCCACAGGGAGGGACAAAAGGGAATTAAAGATTAACTAAATTCAGCAATTAAAAAGAAATAAAACAAATGCAATTGTGCGAGATTGATTGGCTGGAAAATTTAACTAATGCGAATGAGCGATTAAAATAAAACTTGGTTTCTTTCTAATTAACGACGAAGGGAACAAGGATTGATTCCGGGGTAACTAGATTTCTGGCAGATCAGGTCTAATTACATGAATTCAATTTAATTGAGCCTAGCTAATCATTACTAAGTTCTTACCACTCTCGCGACGTAGAGTACAATAATGTAGGGGACCAGGTTGATCTCTCATGCGACAGGATCCTAAATTATTGCCAAGACGAGCGAGCTTACGGCCCCTTAATTGTAACACCGTCCCCAAATATATTTACTTTTAAGTGAATAATGTATTGAGCCTTATGGAATGATTAATGAATTTACGAAGTTGTGAAATTTTATTAATTCTTTCGCGTGAATAGTAAATTGCACGTGAGGCCCACACCGGGAGCGGGGGCCGCCCGATATTTCCGAGACCAAACGTTGACTGGTTGGTCAAACAGAGCCAAATTACCGATATTGATAATTTAGGAGATATGAGTCCGAAAATGAATTTCGGAGACTTCAAAATTAAAGTTGAGGAAAGTATATTCATTCAAATGTCATAATGACTGAGAACACATGATATATTTTATTTGACCCGATAAAATAAATTATATTTAAAATAGTTCGAAAAATATAACTTTCGGAACCGATTGTACACTTCTGGACAAAAAGGGTTGACCTCCCACATGAGTGGGGGCCAACCCACGAATTTGGCGACTCAAATTAAGGAGTTGGCCGGCTAGTAGGATAGCAAATCATGGGGGATGATTGTGAATTGAGGGAAAGAGCATCAAATAAAATGAGGTGGATCCCATCCCTCTTCCTCCCTTACTCTCGGCCAACCCACACCCAGCAAAACCCAGAAACTCTCCACTCTCCTTCTCCATTGTTGAAGAGAGCTCTACAAGAAAGAATCCCAAGAAAGGAAGCTAGAGTGCTAAAAGTGTGAAAGGATTAAGGTAATGACCTCATCATAACCTTTCCTTTATTTTTCTTCTACCATATGAAATATATATCATATGAAGAACCTTGAGGATTGCTCTACATGATTTAAGTGTAGAATAATGGGTTGGAGAGTGGTTCTAAGTCCAAGAACGGACTTAGAAGCCAGACCGACAAGTTCGCCGGAAAATAACCTTTTAGGGATTATTTGTATTAATTAAAGTCTTATGATGTTAAACCATGTTAGGAACTTGATTGGGTATTTTTAAAGCTTCGCCGAAGTTTCGCTGGAATTGGTCAAAGTCCGCCGGAGTTGGTCAAAGTTCGCCGGAATTCGCTAAAGTTCAAACGGGAAGCGTAGAACGCGCTAAGGACTCACTTAATGTGAGGATGACCGACTATATCGCTTATAATTACTGGGTTAATTTCATAAGATTACCTAAATAAGTTAAATGTGTTTGGCATGGATTAATAATGATTAAAAATGCCTAAATGAAATTATTATTGTTTATAAGCAAAAATGCATAATGTCCAAATTTATGAATAAATTGTGTATGATTATGTGCTATGAATGTGATGGTATGTTAGTTGTATTAACCATGAATCTATTGTGATAAATATACTTTTACTTCATGAGAAGAAGTCATGGAAGGATAAAAGTGATATTTTGATATTAAGGCCAAATTACACATGAATGTAGAATTATATTGAAATGAGTAAATAACTAGTATTGAAATATTAGTTAGAAATGTTAGTTGAAAATGGATGAGTTTGATCCTAAGAAATTGAATTGTAAAGAATCGGTGATTATTGAGCTAGGCTCTAGACCGATATAGGAAATCGGTGATTATTGAGCTGAGCTCTAGACCGATGTAGGAAATCGGTGATTATTGAGCTGGGCTCTAGACCGATGTAGGGACTCGGTGATTATTGAGTTGAGCTCTAGACCGTAGTAGATAACGGTGATTATGAGCTGAGCTCTAGACCGTAGTAGATAACGGTGATTATGAGCTGGGCTCTAGATCGTAGTAAATAATGGTGAATTGATATTAAATGAACGGATTAACTATGCTAGACAGAACCGCAAGACTTTAAAAGAACAGAAAGCAACCATGGATCAACCAACATCATCTGGAACAACTGGGACGTCTGAGGTCCAAACCAATTCTGAAAACCATTGCTTTCTACATCAATACCTCTCCCCAGTCTACACCGCCTATTTCACTGAGAAATCCCCCGGATTTCAAAATTTCCGCACCCCATTCTTTCCTCAAAATCAGGCCACACCCCAAATCAACATGACTCCGCTCTATCAGCTTTTTCAAATACCTTGTCTGCCCCTGAAACCACTTTTCAGAATCAAACATATGGGATGCAAGGTATTGGGAAAAACAATCCAGACTTTCAGCCCAGGCAATAATACCCCTAAGTTGGGCGGGATTTGGGAACAAAAAAGGCTCATCACCTTGTTCCTTTATATAATAATAGATTGGAAAACTCAAAGAGACGCGAAAGACGAAAAGACAAATTCTTACAGTGTTTCGTCCTATGTAATTAATTATATGTTTTAATTAATTATTAATTTAAAATTAATTACTAAAAAAGGCTAGCTATAGTGTTTCCGTCCAAAAGTTCTCTCCCACTATTTTGTTATTATATATCATATATATAGATATTGATTTAATTTTAGTGAAAGAGGTCCCTTGATAAATTTATGACAAATCTATAAATGAGTAAAAATCACAAAATTAGTATCGACAACAATTAGGATTTACAGAAGGGTTCCGTTTTGACTGAGAATCAATTCAATCCTATATTCCCTGAAATATATTGCAACAAAATATCTATACTTAAAGAAGTGGACCAAATCGGGCAGGTTGACCCGGAATCCACCCAAACGGCTCCAAATCCGGTATGGTTAACCTTCAGGCCCGTGCCTTATGTTAGAGGCCCACAATTTTTTAAGCATTACTATTATAATACTTATGTATTTTCCAAGTCCGTCGCCATTTGGTGTGATGAAAAATTTTTAGCATCTTTTTCATTAAGTCTAACTTATTCATACCAAATTTCAGTAAAAATGCAATCGGAAAGGCAGTTAAATGATTTTTTGAAGATAACTGCACCGTTAAACAGCGCAGTATATTTCAGAAAATCATTTGACTGCACTATTTGTTGAATTTTTAGCTGAACTTCGGTATAGATAAACTAGACTTAATGAAAAAGATGCTCAAAAAATTTCATCCAAAAATTACACTAGGAACCACCCCGAATGGCGACGGTCAGACATAACCTCTTATATAAGGGGTGTTTTGCACTTTTTAAGTTAGTTCGAGGGCTGATTTGTAGAAAAAATTAATAATATATATTGTTGAGGATTCCACTAAATTATGTATCTAAAATTGTTCGACGGGTTTTACTTAAGTAATTTTTTTAATATTCAATATCGTTTTGTGATAATGGAAGACTTTTGTTGAAAGATTGCATTTTTGTGATATTTATTCATTCAATTTTAGTGAGTTTATATCATAAACAAACACTATGTATATGGCCCAATTTATGAAGCTCGACCAGGCACTGTGCATACCTGATACCGAATCTTCTCTAAACGTTTTAGTAGACTATATATATAGCATGCAAAACATTTTATGCCCGAAACTAACAAAAACCCTAAAAGTAATTCTTTTCTGTATATTTCGAATGACAACCCACCTAATTATTTGTTTGGAATGAAGATGAGTTTGTAACAAAAGACAGTTGTAAACTATACTCCGTATTATTTAATTGTTCCTCCAACTATTAGAAAATCTCAGAAAGATCCCACCTACCCACCAAAAACTCTACTCAAACACCTTCCCAAAACCAATTCCCAGGTGGGTATAAAATTGGGTGAGTAGAAGTAGCAAAGTTGATATATAAAAGGACGAACAAGTAGGAGTATTTATTAAGAAGGATCACTAAAAGATTACAATTATTCGATAACATTAGCAGTTTAGCACCAGGCCATCATCATAGCATTCCTGGAAGTATCTTAAAAAAAAACATAAACAACATTGCCTTATCATATAACTGGAGCTTCAAACATAAACAACAAGAATGGGATACTAGCACCCAGTTACCCACACTAGTACCTCAACCGTTATCTGGTCGGGTGTGGGGCACCTGGGGTGGACGATTCCACCTTGTTGGGTTGAAGAATGGGACACTAGCAACACTACAGATCCATAGATAAAACAGAAGACAGAACAGAGTTATTAAAGTCAATATTATTATTAACGAGGACACAAAGATCACCATAGTATCAGTTACACTACATATATCATATTCTTCTCTACTATTTGTATTGGATATACGTGCATCAGGACTTACTCCTTACTTACCCTTACATTAAAAGGCGAAGGGCATTACTTAACCAAGGAATATAAGTATATAACTTGGACCGTATGGTCAGAGCCCCAAAAACCAAAACCCAGGGGCAGAAACTCAGGAACAGAAGTTCTCTTATTATTACTATAACAAAACAAAACATTAGAATTGCGGAAAATCAAGGTTAGAAATCGTCAAGGCTTCTCTTCAATCAATGAAGACAAACCAGTAATTTTCTTCACTCCATTTTGTAAACTGTTAGAGAAACTGACGGTGGAAGATCCCTCTCCAAATATCAGCTCACAACCGCTAGCAGTCATCAAGTCAGCTTCACATACACTTCCCCCATCCTTGGGCATCAAAGAAGTTTCTTCCTTTCCGGGCGCCTTTCCGGATGCTGCATCGACTCTGGTATAGGGAGAGAACCATTTAGCCCTGACATACTCATGTTGTCTCCAAGGTGGGACAGGCATACCTTTCTTCTTCAAACTCTGCTTAGCAGCCTCAGATGCTATGGATATTATCTTTTGAAGGCGGTCAGGCTTGCCCACATATGTGTTGGGTAGAGCTTGAAGGATAGACTTGTACGTTTTAGTGGGCCTGGCTATCTCAAACTCTGATCTGAACTCGATGTCGATTATCAACCGGTCTCCTTGATATATAACATCGATATATTCATATTCACCTGTAAAAAAATTACCCTAAGTTCATATCATATCTTCACATTACAGCTGAGGTCACCATGTATATAGATAAAAGTAAGCATGCACAGGCAAAATCATTGAAGTCCCAAAAATTAATCCAAAACCAGCATGGGAGGAGAGCAAATTACCAGCAGGAATGCGAGGAGATTTTTCCCAGCGAGATTGACAGACTGAAGCATCATATCCCAGAGCGATGAGGCTGTCCACTATGGTCTTTCGACAATGGTTGTCCTTTCTCTTGCTCATCTTATTCTTCTCAATGATCTTGGTGGTGTCCGCCAAGAGGTTCCTCTCTGAGACAATGACACACGGAACCAAACTCTGCCACAACAACTCAAAAAAATGAATTCGGAAATGGAAGCACAGATAAAAGACGACTCTACTCTGAATCAGAATTGAAGAATAGGATAGTCAAAAGTGTTGATTACCTTCAAAATTTCACATGCATCCAAGGATGAGACATTGCTAGAGTCACCGAAGCAATTGCATGAGTCGGGGGCGTCTTCGTCAGAGTCCAGGCAATTCCTGTGGAAGCAATTGCATAGATTCAGGCAGCAACGATGCTTCTCCTCACCCTCCTCAATGAAATTCTGGACCATCTTAGCCAAGCAAACGGAGCTCGGTTCAAAAACATCAGAAACATCCTTGTTGCAAATCGTCTCCTCGCTGCTAGCCGGCTTCTCAGCCGACAAAGTCCTCAGAAGGCCAGGAAACTGTCTCTCAAAAAGCCGCTTGAACCGCGACTTGGCCACAGGCTTAATCGGTTCATACCGCGACGGCTCTTCAGGTGAGATGAAATCTACAGGCTGGATCCTCATGGCGAAGCGTAAATCACCGGTACAAATCACTCCTAAATTCTCATATGCTCCACTCAATTTGAGTCGAACCTTAGTCAAATTAACCCCAAAAACTCACTTCTACGGTTCTACCTATTACTGTATATATTATATAAAACAAAATAGAATCTGGAAAAGACGTTCAAAATCGCAAGTACAGTCTTCGGATTTCCAGAATCGGAGAATTTTGGCCTAAACTAGAGAGGATTCATCGGGAAGGCAGGGGAAAAGAGAATACCTTTACCACGCGGAAAACTGGTGTTCTAAGGTAAGAATATATCAGAGTCCGAGGTGAGAAGAAACCGGCGCTCTCCGTTTAGGGTTTAGAGAGAACATGCAGTCAATTCCGGTGCCGAAAGGAGGGTGACGTCAGAACTCCATTAGCCTAAGCACGATCCTTCACCCCGAGCTTCCGTATCCCCGACGACAGAACCGATTATCCGGCGAATTGTACAGAGTCCTCACCTACTTTCGGCGGAAGAAGGAGGTTGTACATACACACACTCTATGTATCTATCGGAGGAGAGAGAGTAGAGAGAGAGATTTAGCGGTGGTTGCGAGAGGCGGAGGGCAAGGCAGGGACGAAACAGAGTGAGTAAAGGAAAAGAACTCTCGAGAGATATTCCTTTTATGATGCTTTTCGGATAGCGGAAATAATGATGACGCGGAGGAGCGGCGGGCGACACGTCGGCGGATAATCTCCGTCCAGGTAGGGGCACGTGTCGGCTGAGCAGGAGATCGGGCGGAGAAAGCACCACGTGTTGTTGTGGATGACGCAAAGGGGGGAGGGGAAATGCCGGAAATAGCCTCGGCTTTCTACCCCTCGTGAATTTGATACCCCTTTTCAAGGGCTTCACGTTGGTTGCCTGGTCTTTTCCCCCTACAGTTTGCCCCCTGGTTATAAGTTTTTACTTTTACCGATTTTACCACGACTCCGAGGTAGTAATTCAAACTGGAGTAAAAAAACAAAAAAAACAAAAACAAAAGGTGGTGCGGGGAGGCGGTGCGAAAGGTGTCCATATTTGTTTATATTTTTTTAATGGTTTTTACTATTTTTATTATTTTTTCAAAAACTAAAAAAAAAATTATTTTTAATTTTTTTTAAATTTTTTATTAATTATATATAATTTTTTTACGATTTTTGAATATTTTTAAAGATTTTTTGTTATTGGTTATGATTTTATTATGAATTAAAACATTTCATGATGAATTACCCTGTAATATCCTTAGGGGTATTTAGGATAGAAAATCAATGTTTAGTCATATTTAGGGGATTTAAAAAATAGTAATCTTATTTGTGCTTTTTAGAGACTAATTAATCTTATTTAAGACAACTTCTGCAATTTGTAACACAAATTAACCACAAGTTAAACTCTGAGGCTCTATTTAACTAAAAAATATCCCTCGATGACATTTAGATATTTGATTGGGAGAATGTAAATTGAACGTAATCACAAATTGGTATCGGATGATGCTCTATCGATAGTTTTCAAGATTGGAAGACTTAATTTTATTGTTTCTCATTTCTAAATCTGCCGGTCATAAAAGGACATTCTTCTTTGTATAATTACATTTGACTATAAAGTTGGATTTATTAGATTTTGTAGTACTCCGTATATACGTTTTAATGCACGCAAATAAAATTTTTATATCGATTATTTATTACGTTTTTTTGAAATACGATTATTTATTACGTTAAAACTGTAGAAAAAGCTTGAAGGTTTAATTCAACGTCTGCTTTTGAAAAAGTGAGTACTTGTTTAACTGATCACCTCTAATAGTTGTGACGGGAAGTCCCGTTCGAACTTCCCTATTAGAGATACTCCCGATGATTTTTTTTTAAATTTAATGAACATGTTTTTCATCAAGTCTAGTTTATGTCCATCACAGTATAAAATCCAATCAGGAAGACGGTTAAGGATGTTTTTACTTAGATTGTAATTCGTCCCAGACCAGACCAGATCAGTTCAGACCAGACCAGACCAGACCAGACCAGACCAGACCAGCAAATTACAGCCCAAGTAAAAACATCCTAAATAAATTATCGAAAAGCACTGCGCCAAAATGTACACGAAAAAGCGAGTGTTGTTTCAATAATTTATTTAACTGAACTCTCGATTAAATTTTAAGCTATAATGTTGTGGAGATAATCTATATTGATTAACATGCTCATACAATACCATAAAAAATTCCATCGGAAAGCACCTCTGATAAGCAAGTTCGGACGAGGCTTTTCGTCAGAACTATCTGATGTGATCTTTTCATTGTTTAATATATATGGCTTTCTTCCTTTTTACTCAAATGAAAAGTAGGATTTTGACTCAAATGAGAGCAATGTGGTAAACAACACACATAAAAGTATGAAAATAGGAGATGCGTTGAAAGTAAAAATAATTCGTAATTACATAAGTCGATGATAAAAATAAAAATAATAATTATGTCAAAGACATAATTTTGCAATGTAGGTGAGGATTATTTCGATGTTAGTTTGTGTTGTATTTTGAGCGAACCGGTGAATGATTTTGCTTGAAATAATATAATGTTTGGTTTCCCCTTTCAAAAAAATATCTGCCGTTCATAAAAGGGTAGTCTCGTTTGTATATTTAGATTTGACTATAAAGTTCGTTTAATTAATTTTTTGTAGTACTCCGAATATGCGTTTAAAATACACGCACATAAATTCTCTATCGATTATTAATTACATTAAAACTGTAGAAAAATCTTGAAGGTTTAATTCAGAAAAAGTTAAAGCAGATGCGGAAAATGGTTGCTTGTAAATACAACATCCACTTTTGAAAAAGCACGTTCTGTTTATGACATATGGTTTTCTTCATTTTTACTCAAATTTAAAGTAAGATTTTGAGTTGGTTTTTGTCTCAACTCAGAGCAATATAGTAAATAAAGTACAGAAAAAGTATGAAAATACGAGATGTGCTGAAAAAGTATATAGAAAAAAAAAGCGATCTGTTATGTAATTAAGTGGATGTCCATTAAACTCCAAGCCCGTATGCATTGGCCCATATGAAATGTAACCCTAACTCTCCTCACCTTGTATATATAGATGCTATATGTGAATGAAGTGATAGCTTTTGACCTTGACTTATAACACGTTATCAGCACGATTTCTCTAACCCTAGTTTTTTTTTTCCTCTTACGCAATCTATTCGTCGCTTCTCAAACAAGGCTCGCCGTCAACTTCCTATGGCCGAGAAAAATAAGAAAGGCAGAACACGGGCTTCATACCATCAGATAACTCACGGATTTTGCAAAAATGAAAAGAGCAAGCTATTTGTCTCCATACTTACATAGATCCACTTGATCCGGCCATATATACGTACTCAGGACCTCAGGTATTACATCAATTCATGATATTCGATTTCATATTTTTTGGCTGATCACTTTATGTATGTGCTTGATATACGAACAAATTTAGTTTTACTTTTTTAATCTTCATATATGCTACTCCGTATAATATTATGCTTAATTGCTTACCATTAATTAATTCCTTAAATGGAGAAGCATTATTGATTTTTGAATATCAAATATGATCACTTTTCAATACTAGAATTCTCATCTCCTAAAAACAAAAACAAAAAAAGGCATAAGTGCCGTATGCATTTTAAGTATTTGTATGATTTGATTTTCGTGGAGTTCAATTTTAAAAGCTATTATCCTTATATAGCATAAATATCAAAAGGATGATATATGCATATTATATATATTTGTGACTTAATGATATACTACGTATTAAAACTAAATGATATACTACGTATTAAAACTAAATTCTGAAATAGCGTGCTTATTCATGTCGTAGAAGTGACAATTACCTTAAGTACATGCTGGTGAATAAAGAAATGATTTTCTTTACCCAATTACCTTTACAATATAATTACCTTTACTACCAGAATACGAGTATAATTTTGATTAAGTTTGAATTACATGATGTATATATCATGTATGTATATATGTGAAAGGGGCAGTGAATAATCATGATCGGCCAGAAGGCTCAAGATCGAAATAAGAAGGAAATTCATTTCCTTTATTGAATAAAGATCCTAATGACATTTACTAGTCATTTAAAACATAAAATTCTTGCTTATTTATAAGTTGATAACGGTTACAATAGAACATTTATTTTCTCAATTAATTGGTGATATAAATTGAGTTTAATTAAGTAAGAAAACCACCCCTATTTTATACATTTGTTTGTGCATTAGTGATTATATATACCCACGTTTTGTCTTAAGGATGATATTTTTTCGTAATTAATTCTGAAAATATGTAAGACCATATGAAAGGTAAGAAGACACTTTAGGAATACGATCTCTTATTATATATGTGAATGGGATACTAAAAGAGTGGACTAAAGTCTCAAATGATAAGAAAGAAAGTGTTTTTCTTACTAGTCAATCGAGGCGTGTAATTCAATTGTAATTATTAGCCAATGTCGGTTACTCTAAAACACATCCTTGCTCAATTGATTATATAAATTTAGTTTTAATGAGCATATATCACCAATAAAGAATTTGACTAAATGTTGGTTACATTATTAATTCATTTTTCTACTAGCCAATATGATTTAGTAGGTGGGTTTTAGTAGCTAAATTTGGCTAAATATATACGGAGTATAACAATTGATGAAATTGTTGATTTCACGGACACTATTCAAATTATAAATAGTTAAAAGTTTTTTTCTTTCTAAATTAACTGATTAGTTGTTCGTGTATTACGTACCTATGAGATAATAAATTACCATAATTGGAGTTTCATGAGTTTAAGAAAAAGGAGCTTTACTACCCCTAATTAGACTTTTATATTCGGTATTAAAGTTCAGTATGAATAATATTTATTCATATAAGAGTTAAAATGGTTTTAGCAATCTCACCGATTTATCTCAAATCATAATGGGTTGATTAAATGCATATTTGATATACTCATGATCTTAATCTTCTATGAGAAATCAATTTATTCTCGTCCTGCACTAGAATTTTGTAAAACCGTATTAAGTTTTATATTAATGTGCCCTTAGTAGCATTTCATTTCCTTGATCATGTATTGATTGAAAAAATTTCATTAGCTCTCTATGCTTATTTTATTATCACAAATTAATTCAAACTACTTTGAGCTAATGTAAGCATTAAGGAAAAAAAACATTGGAGATTACAGGTATGTTCCACATGTCTCTATTTATAATTTGATCATTTTGGAACATAATATGATTACATTTATATGATAAACTTGATTGTTGAATATTGATTGATAAGTTGATGTGACTAGTATAGCTCCAATGTTCTATAAAACATTCAAGTAAGTGATATAATTTGAGAAAATACTAGTACATGATTAGAAAACATGATATAGACTTCAACTATATTCGAGATACAGTTAAATATTGCTACGAATACACAAATAATGCCTAGAAAATCACAATTTAATACAATTATGTATAATGATTAGTTCAAGTTAATCTACTCGAGAGAGGGAGAAAACAAATAAAATTTCAGGAATGGAAATATGAAACTATAACAAAGTGCCAGAAGTCACTATAACTCTATAAGAGCATAAATTTGATGTACAAGTGGGTGTGTTGTGA